AATAGGCAAAGCTGAATTGAGTAATCAGAGCTCCTGGCCAGATTAAAAACCGGTTGTCTGTCTTTGAGTCGAAGAGCAGGGAGAAGTGGCAGTATTCACAGGCTAGTTGGGGCCCAGAACAAGGATATCGGCACTGCCTCATATATCTATGTAACAACAAAATATCTCCACCAAAATAAAACTTGATACGAAGCTAATTTTTTCCTAAAATTGGAAAATTTGCGATACCGTTTGTTGCCATGTGAATGGCCAAGCGAGTTGTTTACGAATAAGTGTCTTGCCATATCTCCAAGGGATAAATATTAAATTGCTCTACCTGGTGATGGTATGCCAATCCCACAATTTGAGGTAATAAAGAAGGAAGCAATGAAAAAAGCGATTTTAATTATTTACTTGAACAGTGTATCAACCAACTCTTTCTCTTTCATGCAGCCATAAGAGCATCCAAATCACCTTGTCTGTCTGCATCGATCGCACTCGATGAATTACACGCCCGACTTGCGAGATAGTTCACTAAAAAAACTGTCCCCTAGTCTCCTGTGACTACGTTCAATTACTTCTTTCTGAGTGTCGTGAAGATGTCGACGGGCCTGAGATAATGTCAGGAATTCTGTCGAAAAAATCGCCAATGTAGGCAGCGTCCATTATGGCGTGGCCTTTACAACGCGAAATAGGCTCGTGACGCGCGCGTCGGTCTCTTTCCGAAGATTTTCGGAAAAGGCCAGAAAATCGATATTTTCAATCTATATATGAGAGGCTGTACTTTCAAGTGACACATATATATGTTGAACTTTACAACCTGTATTTGTCTCAACGTAAGCTATATATGAGCAATATTCAACCCATTTATAACACAGTACAACATATATTTAGTGATACAACTTATATTTTAGTTTCAACATTTTTGTCACGCTTGGCGTTCCATACGATAGTTTCTATTTACGAACACTTGCTAAATAAACATTGAATAGGGAGGACGCAGTGAAAAGACAGGACTTGAATGCCGCCAATGGGCAAATCAAATTCAACCACCGAATAATTATTCCGTTGTTCATAAATGCTTTAATTCTAGCTTTTTTATAGTATTTTTTAGTTTTTTAAATTATTTTTAGCATGTTCATTTTGATTACCCCTTTCAATGGTTGGGCTTTTTTTAGCTTCCACGTTAAACTCCTTAATGACAATCCTATTGAAACAAATCCTGGATAAAAGTGACTAAGGATTAAGTGATTACCCATTAGGTTATGAGGAAGTCTGTTTAAACATATACTCCATACTTTAAAAAGCATGATCCAGAAAGGACGAGGCGAAAAGGTTTCATGAAGAGTGTTCTTTTTATACATTAACGCATACAATCATGCGATCAGTGATTGATGTTTCTATTTGTTTCAGAAGAAGCTCCTCTTTTAATAATGATTTCTTTCTTTCAAGTAAGCTTGGATATTTTCCGTAATTCGACATGCTACTTTTGGTTTCAACCCATTGCCAGATCAAGAGAGCAGAACATTCTGCCGCAAATGAGATAACCTCGATTCCATGGTTTTAGTAGAAAAGTAGGAAGCCTGGTACCAACTTCCTCGTTAAAGCAAAAGGAAAATGGCTAGCTTTAGTTGGTATCAAAGTATCGCATTTATTTTACTGCTGTTTCACTTGTCAAGTAAGTAGAAACTCTATTTAAAGACAGACTTTAATAGTATGTTTATTACCAGGCCATAGTACATCAGGAGATAGTAAGGAAAGCAAAGACGCCTGAAACGGAGATCGAATACCGAACATTCCTGTAAAACCAAATGTAAGACTTTAATAGTATGTTTATTACCAGGCCATAGTACGTCAGGAGATAGTAAGGAAAGCAAAGACGCCTGAAACGGAGATCGAATACCGAACATTCCTGTAAAACCAAATGTAAGACTTTAATAGTATGTTTATTACCAGGCCATAGTACGTCAGGAGATAGTAAGGAAAGCAAAGACGCCTGAAACGGAGATCGAATACCGAACATTCCTGTAAAACCAAATGTAAGACTTCACTTCACGAATATGAAAACCTCCATAAATGAAGGTGAAGAACCCAGAACACGAAACCGATCACCCCAGAAATCAAGGTACAACATGGTGAGAAATTCTGCGTGTGAAAGCACATCATGTCAATTTTCATCAAATCACCAAATGTCTGTATTGTTTCTTTAGTTACGTTTAAGGCACATGTAACTTTGATGCATTCTAATTTGTTCGTTTGGGATTCAAATTCTTCTACAAAATATTTTATCGGTCTTCCC